CAGGCAACCACTGATCACCTTCTCTCTCTGTGGACATGTCACCAAACGAACCATACAATATGTGCTCTCCTGTGACTGGCTGCTTTCACTTGGTCCATCCACACATGTTGTAGCAGGTTTCAGGATTTTATTCCTTTTAGGGCTGAATCATGTTGCACTGGATGGATGGATAGACCCCATTTTATTTATTCATCGGTGGAAATAGAAACATTTGGGTTGTTTCTATTTGGGGGGCCATTAGGAAGCCTTGTAAGTTCCTATAGGGTTTCCGGAGTGTGCTTGCAGGTCAAGGCCACCTTTGCCAGGGATCCAGCTGAGGAGGGACAGTTGGTGACATTCACAAAGACCTGGTGAGGACCCTTGAGGCTGGGCGTCTCCTGCAGACAGCTGCCTTCGGCACACCTTATGGTCCTGGCCTGGGGGTGAATAACTTGGAAGGCCAAATTCACCAGGAAACTTTATTTTCTGTTGATTAGTAGACATGGGGTCACTCATTTTTCTAAACCTAGAGCTATTTTTATTACAGAACATTTGAAAGCCAGAGAAAAATATAATGACCAGCCCCATCCCTACTCAGCGCCACCAAATCGCAGGGCTTTGCTAACGTGTGCACTGTAAGAAGCAAGCTTGGTTGTCACCCTTGTCGACTGTCTCCTCGCTGCCCACGGGCTCTGGAGCAAATGCTGTGTTGCCCTTTCTGTGCATCTACGCCCCATCTGTGCAGTTCTGGGGGAGCAGGGGATGGGCGCTGCAGTGTAGACCGTCGGAAGGGACCAGCCGCTAGATTAGGTGCTGCACGGGCAGAGCAATAAGGAACAGTGGCTTCCATGGAAAGTTCTCTCTGTTCTTTGTCCTGGAAGCAGTAAGGAGAACATCTCCATTTGGTGCCTGGGTATCTGAACTCGACCCCCACCCTGGCTCATCGCCCTTTTCTCCAGAGCGGGAGCCCACGGTGACGCGGGTGGTGGGACCCAGTTAGCACGGTGATCCTTCCCTTCCACGATGGGGAGACTATGTTGCTGTCGCGATGGTTTCCTGGAAAAATGTATTTAATTGCAAAGAATTGATGTAGAGAAAGATCTCAATTCAGGAGCAGCACAGGTGGTGAGCAGGGAAGCCCAGGAAGCGGGAGGGGGCTGGGTGAGTGGCAGACAGCTGGGGGCCGCTGCTGCGACCTCTCTCTCCTCTCCTGCAGACACCCTGGGCTGCCATCCCTCCCCTGCCTCACTGGTCCATCCCTGTTCCTGCTGCTGGCTGGGCCAGCCAAAGGCGGTCTCACCTGGACGTGGGAGGGGCTGAGGGTGTGGTTGGGGGGTGGTTCTGAAACCTGCCCAAGGACCCATTTGGAGACACCTAGGGATGGGAGCTTCGGCTGTATCCCAGCCCTGTCACATCTTGACTTGTGACCTGGGCAGGTGCACTCACCTCTCTGAGTTGCCCCCATCTCTGAGGTGGAGATGACAGTAGCTCACACCTCCTAGGACCTTGCGAGGAAGAAACGATGCCCTCGTCACAACCCGAGTAAAGCACTCAGCGCAGGGCTGGGTGCGTCACCATTCAGCAGTTCTACGTGGATAAAAAGTATCTAGTAAAATGTCCTCATTTCCTCTTTGGTGCAGGGTGTTCATTGCCACTGTAATGAAGTGTTTTGGGGGGCAGCTATTGGTTTGTTGGTGACCGTTCTTGTCTACCTTCTGGAAGTTCCATTGGGGGATATTTCTGCGTTTGTTTACTGTTGGGTCCCTAATGCCTGGTGTGGTCCCAGCATGCAGTAGGCTCTCTGTGCATTTTTCCAGTGAATGAGTGGCCGAATGAATGAATGCTTCCTCTGGAGGTGACTGCTGCACAGAGCCCAAAGCTCCGTATGCGCCTTCCTCCGTGTTATTTCCCCCACATCTTCACTCTGTCCTTGGCTATTCACTGGGGTTTCATCCAACACTGCCAGGGTGCTCCCGCTGCACCCCAGCCCTGCTTAGGAGCTAGCTGAATATGAAGGAGCCACCCCAGGCAAGTCCCAGTAGTCCCTGCTGTGCTGTCACCTGCTGTGGGACCCTGGCAAGCTCCTTCTCAGAGCCTCAGTTTCATCATCTGCAGTGGGGACTCAGGGGGCGCCCAGCCCCTGGGGTTGTTTAAGGAGTTGAAGCAGGATGGTGCCTGTTGGAGCTTCTCTACCACATCTGCACACAGCTGCCGCCTGGGCTGGAGGTGTGGGAGTGGCCTGCACGTCTCCCACACCCCCATCTAGAATGATGAGAACGGCTCATTAGCGCCTTGGAGGCCGGACGCCTTTGTAAGCGGTAGCCCTGGGGGCATCGCCGCCCTTGCTGTGGCCCCATCAGCTTCGAGGGCGGTTGGGGAGCCTCCCAGGAAGGCGCCAGCTGCCCCGCCTCTCTCTCTTCCCAGGCCGGGGGCCGAGGGTCCGGAGGAAGGCGAGGTGGGCAGTGGGGAGGCGGTGAGCAGGGCAGGGATGAAGTGGGGGAGCGCCCCCCCCCTCGTGGTGGAGCCTGGGCAGCGGGACCCACTGGCCTCCACAGCCAAGCGAGGAAGGGCTCGGGAAACCGCTGCCTGAGCTGCTGGGGAGATTGGCCCTGCCTCCAAAGGAGGCACCCTTGGGGTCTCCTCCCCGCCCGCCCTCTGGGGAGAGGGGAGAAGAGGGGCGCGGAAGCCTCCTCGGTTCTAGAGCTCTGTGGGGTGGGGGTGGGAGGTCCATAATCAGGGTGCAGCCCCCACCTGCCCAGAGCTGCCAGGGCAGTGCAGGCCAGGTATCGGAGACCCCACCCCATCACCACGCGCATCCTCACGCCCCTCTCTCGTGACGTCATGCTCCTCTCGCGTGGCATGATGGGAGAATCCTAATGTTTTCCAACAGATGCTCCAAGAACAGCTTTCAGATTAAAGCAATTGCAAGAGCAAAGATTCTTCTTTTTCCCTGTTTTTCCGGGGGGGTGGGGGGGTGGGGTGGGGGGAGGGAACGCCCCTAGAAATTCGTGGACATCACCCCCTGGCCCAAAGCACGCAATAAACACTGACAAGAAAAAAGTTTTTATTTTCTGGCTCAACTTTTCTTCCTGGAATAGAGACTGAAGAATGGGAATAAACACGAATACATAACAGCGAGGCCGCGCGCCTGGCTGCAGCCGCGAGGCTATTGTCTCTCCGCCCCGAAGCGCCCGGCGGCGTCCTCCGGCCCCTTCCCTTCGCCGGGCCTTTGGGATTTTCTTTTTTAACAAGACGCCCCCTCCAGCCCCCTCGCCGCCGGTGACCTTGGCCGCCTCGGATGCTCTGATTCCAAGCGGCTCCGTCCACTGGCCCCCGCGCCGGCCGGGCCCATGGCCACGTCCGAGGACGGCAGCGGCTGCCTTGTGTCGCGGGCCCGCTCGCAGAGTGACCCCAGCGTCCTCGCCGACTCCACGGCCACGTCCTCCGCGGATGCCGGGGAGAACCCAGGTAACGGGGCCGGGCGGGGGCGGCCGGGGAGCGGGGGCGGCCGGGGGCCGACGGCGCGGGGCGCACAGTCCGGGCGCTGCTCCGCGTCCCCGCTGCATGTGGGAGCCGCCGCCGGACCGGCGCTCCGGCCCCGCAGGTCGCATCCCCCGCAACGTTGCCGGGGCTCCGAGGAGCCCTTTGTCCGGATACGAGCCGATTTCCTGGGTAGAGCCGGGCCCTGAGCCTCGGGCCTCCTTGTCGGCCGGCGGGCAGTGCTGTCCCCTCCGGGGACTCCCCTTCCCTGGGTGCTGACCGGCGAGGGGGAGAGTCAGACCTGTGGCCGCCTCGCCTGCGCCGGCCTGGAGCTCTGCCTCCCGACCCCGTCCTCAGCTCAGGTGGCCGGGTGGCCGGGTGGCCCTGCCCGGGCGGGGCAGCGCTCCCGGGGCCACCGGGCAGAGGGGCTTCCTCCGGGCGCCCGACTGGGGCCAGGCCTGCCCCACCTGGGCGCGCCGCCCGCCCCCCCGGACAGGTGTGCGCCCCAAGCTGCCAGCCGGGAGATGAAGGGCGTGTGCAGGACGGAGCCGGATTTCATGGACTTCGTCCACTTCTCCACCCCCGCGGTAGCGTCCATTGTTTAGGTGATAAATCCGGTCACAAAGGCGTCTATGTGTTTTGATGGATTACTTTCCAGAGAGGAAGAAAGGCCTAATAAAGCAGGAGGGAGGTGGGCTGTGCAGGCACCGTCACCATGGAGACGCAGGAAGCAAAGTGATCATTAAAACCTTTCTCCACCAGAAGGCAATTTCCACTTCACAGGGAGAAGCCGGAGCTGCTGAGATGCAGGGTTCAGAAAAGGAACCCAAGCTGGTGTTTTGGTACCAACCTCGGGGCTCAGCCGTCCCATCCCAGAGAAGCACCAGCCCTGAGTCTGTTTGGACAATAATCGCCCTGACCTTCCTTTGAAGATGTATTCTCTGTAAATGCATGGACCCCAAATGGGGACTCTATCAGGATAGGTGATGGGCACCTGAGTGAAGGCAATCCCTGGGCAAGGGGGACGTGGCTTTGTGGGATGCGGCTCCCCGCTTTGCTGGAACACAGAGGGGCTTTCCTGACTGCAAAGAAAGACCCATTAAAGGCGGCTCTGAGGGCAGCAGGGCCCAACTTGAAATTTTAAACAATAAACCCATGCGAGGCTTGTAAGATTTCTTTGTTAGGATGTTGACACTGTATCGTCTGGTCAAACTAAGGTACCAGCCTGAGGAAATCCCTGGGTTTGCTATATCTGGGAGGGCAAGTTCATTTCCTTGGAGTTTCAAGCAGAGGCTGTTATAAGCAGACCCTTAAGGCTTTAATTAATCTTTTTTATTAGAAATCGAGGATTAAGCCCTCAGCACTCCATGTTGGATTGGTTTTTCTCAATGCGGGAGATGCACATCCATGATTGTTCCCATTATGGAAGTTGAGTGGCTCGTCAGGAGAGAACCCTCCCGTTTCTTTTGTCTCCCTGGCAGTAAAAGGAAGCAAACTTGAAACGGAAATGGTGGAGGATTTAGCTTTTTGGCTGTCTGTGAGTTGATGCCTCTGTGGGTGGGAACAGAGGGCTTGGCAGGTGCCTGGTGCCGGCTCCACCACGGAGAGAGGAGGGAGGGCTGGGATGCCATGATTCAGCGATGCCCGGGGAGGACGGCCGGCCAAGTTAGTCTCTGGTTCGAATGGTCAAAATGGGACCCAGAGAGCAGATGTCTGAGGTGAAAAGTATGTATGATTCTGTGTGTGGTCGGACCTTACTAAAAAGCATCAAGCAGTGAAGTATTTATGGATCATGTTAAGCAGAGGAGTTCTGGCAGAAAGAGTGTCAGAATCTTCAAATTGGAAGCGACTCGGGAGATTGAAGCAGGAAGGGTGGACTAGGGGAGCAAATATTTTCTACTAGTGTCTTGCCTGGTTGGCTTGGCATGTGCTTGCATACCTCTTTCATTGGGGGACTCACTTCTTTCTGATGCAGCACATTCTTTTCTTTGGGTGGACCTATTTAAAAATTCCTTTTCAATTGGCTCTTAAGATTCTGCTCCCCATCAGCCCTGGTGGCATCTTCTCACAAGGCGTGTTCCGGGGGCTTTCAGAGAGTCTGTTGTGTTAGGTCACTTATCCTTCCAACCTGAGTCATTTTTCACTAGGTTGAAAAGCCCCAGTCCTTCATCTTGCGCTCCCTTTGGGATCTCTTTACCTGTCCACCTGCTGCTCTAAAGAGTGACTCCTGAAAATTGAAGCCAGTGCGCCAGCTGTGGCATAACCTGGCACAAAGTCAAGTGCAAGGGTTGCCGCCTTCCTTCTAGATCCTAGACTTTTATAAAACAGCCCAAAGTGGCATTTACCCTTGCCCCCTCCAAGTGACTTTCTAATGCATCAATATTCTCTTACTAAAAACTCAGAGCATTATGGGAGCGTAAACGGTGACACCCCTTTCTCTCTCCAGCGGTTATCTTTGCATCCTCTGCACTTTTCTACATGTTTATATTTACATGTTCTTGGGAAGAGAACTTTATTTAATATGCTAGTACATGGCACAGAAGGCTCTCCATGGTGTTTCCACTCAACACTGGGTGTTGGAGGTTTAACCACATTCTGTAGCGCCATCTCCCTCATTTAGTAGCCATGTAGGAGTCCAAGGACACTCATTTCCACCGTTTAGCTATTAGACGTTTGTGTTGTTTTCAGTTATACCCATAACAGGCAACACGGTGGTGCTCACCTGCACATTTCCTCTAGGGCATGTCCCAGCTAGTGGGATGTCTGGGTCACAGGGGACCCACATTTTTTAGTTCTATGACATTGCACCTTCCTGGGAAAAAATATACCAATTGACACTCCTTCCAGAATCTTCGAGAATGCCCCTTTTCCAAAGCCTTGCCAACGCCTGAGATCGTCAATCTGGTTTTCTCTTGCATGGTGACAAATGGTGTCAGTTGTGTTAATTTGCGGCTCCTTGATTGCTGGTGAGTGGGAGCATCTTTTTGTGACCTTATCCGTGCACTAAATCTGTCAATGGCCACATCTGTGGCCATAGCCTGGGTGGCAGGGATGAAGGATTTTCCCCAAGGGCCAACCCATCCCCTCTCTCTACATCATTGCTCCATTAATGACTCCATCTGCACCTGTACAAGGTTTCTCTCTGTAAATCCTTATTCTAGTCCCACAAGCAGGAGACCCCCAGCTTAGGTCTTCTCCCCCAAATTAACATTTTCAAAGGTAAGGCAGCATCCCCACCACCTTTCCTCCTCAGGCGGTCAGACTCACCAGGAGTTTGGCATCCTCTCCCCCATTTGTTCCCAGGCTGTGGGAAGGGCATCTGCCCCTCCATGCTGTGGGACCTGCCCTGGCCTTGGTCCCGCATGGACAAGGCGGTCTGTGAGCTCCTTGTCCAATCTCATGCCATGGCCTCAGCCTCCTCTGTCTTGTCCCCTCACTGCCCTGACCCCTGGTTTCTGGTAGCTGTTCTTTCCTGCTCTCGGCCTGTCATGCCCCTTTTCCTCTTCCCGGTCCTTCACACGAGGGTTCCCGCAGTGCCGTCTTCACTGCCTTCTTCCTCCACTCCGAGCTGTCTCCCTGGGGTGTCTCCCTGGGTCCCCGAAGCCAGGACCAGCAACTGGACCAAGGGTCACCTGGGATAACTTTTTAAACACCTTTCTGTGTGACCTTGCGATGTACCTTTGTAAAGATTCTGCTCAAGAGGCTCTGATGCCCAAGCAGGTGGGAGACCCTCAATCTCAGGCAGGGTCTCTCAGCCTCGGCAGCACTGGCGTTTGGGGCGGCATCCTTCTCCGTTGTGGGGCTGTCCGGTGCATCGGAGGGCGTTTGGCCGCATCCCTGGCATCTGTCTGCTAGATGACAGCAGCACCTCAGTCCCGAATGGTGACAACCAAAATGTCATCAGACTTGCCAAGTGTCCCCTGAGGGCAAAATCTCCCCAGAGAGATGCTGATGTTGATATTCACTCACACTGGAGTGTCTATCAGAATCCCCTGCTGGGCTTGGCAGCCCCACGCCGGGGTCTCTGATTCAGCATATGTGTGGTGGGCCCTGAGAGTGACATCTCCAGCAAGTTACCAGGTGGTGCTGATGGTGCTAGTCAGGTGACCACACCTGGGGAGCCAGTGAGCCCAGCCCTCAGCCATGGTCTCAGCCTCTCTGCCGACAATTTGTGTGTGGGGGGCGTGTCTGTGTGTCCATGTGGATCCTGCACTGACCTGTCTGGCTCCGAGCTCCAGACCTCTGTGTTCTGCTGACCCCTTCTTTTTCTTCAGGTCTCGGGCCAATGTCACCTCAGAGGCTCTTCTGTCCACCCTATTAAATGTAAGTGGCTGCCTGCCCCAGCCAGCCCTGCTCCTGTCCCTCCGTTCTGATTCGCTCAGGGTGCTTGTTACTACCTGGGCTTCGGGTCTCTTTCCTTCTCTGTGGACTGTGCCCGTCTGGGCCGGGACACCAGCACAGCCTTGCATGCAGGAGGCTTCAGCATTTGGGGAATGAATGGGCTCAAGCACCAGACATCGGTGTCTAGCTGATGAGGCGTGGGGCTGCCCAGGTGGCTGGGCCCTCCTGCCAGCTGGACGGGGCCTCTGGGAACAGGCGGCTCAGTTACAGCCTCAGCCACGTCTCTGAGCAGGAGCAGTTCCACCGTGGCCTTCCTGCCTGGAGAGGGAGACGCCCTTCAGAGCACCTGTGCCCTCCACCCCCACCCCGAGCTGCAGGGGGTGAAGAAGCACCTCGCGGGTCCACTCTCAGCCCTGCTGTCGCTGGCTCCCCGTCAGGGCCACGCTGGTCAGCCTTTGAAATGTGGGGAGGCGCTGTGCTGACCCAGCCAGGGGCGAGTTAGGACTCGGGGACCACGCTCCTCCGTGACTCGCAGCAGCACCAGCCAGAGTCCATGCTCAGGAGTGGTGATGAGAGGGCGGGGCAGGGGAGAATTCGGTTCCGAGTCTCATTCTGGTCTACCCAGATGGCAGCAGCAGCGCTGCCTG